CATATCGTCGGGTGATGCAATATTATACTGTAGTTACGAAATCTCTCAACTATTTCTGAATTTGATAAAGTATTAAAAAAATGATATAATATAAATATATATTGATTCTAATGTAAAAGAGGTAATTCCTATTTTTTGGACAATAAATTCTTTCTAGTATTTTAAGACGCTCATTAATTGCTTGTCTATTTAATTTGTTACATTTCTATTTCAATTTCAGTTTAGAATTGGATATGTAAATTCACACTGAAATATTAATAATCATTACGTTGTATTTTATAATTAAAACAAATAAGATATTTGTTTTCTTAGTTGTGTAATTGTTAATGTTACATACATTTCCTCGAATCCCTTCGATGTACCGAAACAAAACACAATTCTACGCAAAATCGAATCAGAAATGAATTGAAATCCATGTTTTCAAACCCGATTGTTGTCACGTTGCTGTCGTTTAACTCGCATCCACAGGTAGTTGATTTCGTTGTCTGGATTTCACTGGCTTTGCAGTGTTTAGTTGCGCACCATGCTGCACCAGTCTGCAAGAATAGAGGACCTCGAGTTTTGGCTCGCAACTTGCGTCCGGCGTATTTTATCTCAGAGAATGCTCCACAAACTTTCGCACTGTTGCACAGTCTTATTTTTATACATGACAGCACCTTTTGTAGATAGAAAATTGACGAAATTTTGAAAAGGAAAAGTAAACAAATCGCACGAACCAATCAAGATAATGTCCTCTCCAACTAGAGGGAGATAAAATCCAGTCTTGAAAATTTTCGGAAATAATAATAAAACGTCGAGAAAATGTATGAAATTAAATAATCGACTTTCGATTATTTAATTTAAATATCCACACAGGTCTGCCCTCGACATTTAAGGGTAGTCTGACGTTCAAGGTTTCGGCTGCTGGGTGAACCAAATTTCGTATAACTATGCATAAGATCGATCGTCGTGCTCGTCGTTCTATACATGCTGTACGTACGGACTACCCTGCACGGTTCGCGTGATTTCAATCGCGGAACACTTTGACGTCCCGATGTATCGAGACAAGGATAAAAAAGACCGATGCTTTATGCGGCATGCATAGTTCGGTGATTGACTCCATTCTGTGCTTTTCCGCTTTTCGTATAGACATGCCGTTCTTCGCTCGATGGACAAAGAACAATAAACAGCCGAAAACTCGGGTACACCTTTGGCAATTTCGCGGTGCATTTTCAAGTAAATAAGAGCACGGTGGCAAGAAGTAGCAATGAAGGATACTTAAGCGTCTTAAATGTTTCTTGCGATGACAAACTTATTGAGAAATCTGTTACTTGTGGTTGCAAAGATTATATTCAAATATTGTAATTTTAATATCCTTTATATGGGGAGCATGATAAAAAAAAAGCCTGTTAATTTTTACATTGAATTTTTATAAGCATATGATATGTACCTATGATTTTAATATGCTTGTAATGTGTGCAATTAACTTTTTCATCAACGAGTTTATTGAAACAATGCTGATTGCGTTTATCGGAAAAATAATTCGATGCAATGAAATTAAATCAAATATTAATTTGCCAACAAATTAATTTTTTTCTGAAAAGAACAAAACGTCGAGCGATGGCAATAGTTTCTTGAGTAACAAACGAATGAAAATGCTTGGAAGCGAAGCTTTCGAAGGACAATATTTCCTCTCGCGAGTATTACATTAAATATGACGTCTCCCTTCTGCAAAATCTTGAGAGAACAAATCTTTCGTTTTTCCTTTTTGCTTCATTATGCATTATTTATCTTACTGAGTTTGCCACTGCATTGCGTCATCTCGTAATCTACTTATCTATAAAAGTGGAACGCGGGGTCCTTTCGCATTGTGAAAAGTGCGGCCGTTTGAAGTATTAACTTGTTGTTACTCCTGCTAGGGAAACGCTTTTCGAAGCATACGAGTATACATTTGTATCCTCGAGCAGTAAGTAACGTCCATTGCTAGGGGTCGATACCGCGATAATGTCTGGAATTATCGATCGGCTTGCATTAATGGGCTTCTCCTCGCATCGTGAAAATCAAGGATGACAAGAAGGGGAATTCAGGATACGCGAGACTTTTATGAGCTATAGTAAAAATTTTTTTTCTTCAAAGAATAATGGAAAAAAAAATACTAGAAGGAAAAATACATAATTCATAAAGAATAAATACATGGAGTTACTATTAATATTGATGTAATAAATTTTTAATTAAATATATAGTCGTACACACACTATATAAATATCTTATTGTTAACAATAATTATATTAGGACTCTCAAATTTTAAACAATACAGAAAGATAATAGGCTAATGAGAGTCAGCAACGATAACGATACAATTATTTAGTGAACAATCAATAATCAGATATTGGATTGATATCTTCTTTATTTTGAAAGTTTCGACTCTCTTTGGAGTCCTTCTCAGCAAGAATGACAGAAGTATAATTAGCTCATGTCCATAATGCTTAAGTCACTCGCAAAAGTGACAAAGATGCAGCGTTGTTAATCATCACGAAACATGAAGCATGTCATGAAGCTTTGTTGAACATATTAACTTAAAAAATAGAAATATTAAAATCAAATATAAAGATCTTATTGTTACTACAAACTGATTTTAGCACTTTGGCCATCTATTCTATCTGCAGATTCTTGTTGAGAAAAATTCGTTCGAGAATTCAATACACGCAAGAATTATTCGCACTATTGTCTCCGACAGTTCTAATGAGATAATTCACGTCGTGTTGGACGTGTTGAGGAGTCTTAATGGTAGGGTCGAAAGAGCGTTTCTGTCGCGATATGTTTGTGTCTCATCGTCATCCTATATATGTGACCCACCCTTTCGCGAAAGCGCATGCCAACTGTTATAGGGGTTCTAAAACAATACAAGTATGGGACGCTGACGTATCTGCAGCACTTTATCGCGATGTATACTCGATGGATTTACAATTTATGAACCTACAACGAACGAGAACAGGGATTGAGATTTGGCCTCGTGTGTTACGTGCGTGTGTTTCACAGTGATGTTTTTAAAGTCAACCTAGTACGTACGTACGTACGTTCTAATTTGTACGACTGAGAATGACACAGATCACGCTCGTAATAAAATCGACTTAATGTGGTTTTACCTGAAACGCTATTCTTTTGATCTGTTCTGTGAATGCTACACGTATTAATTATTATACTGATAAAAATACATATTTATAATCGTGCACAAATTAAATTCTCAGTTAATAATACGTTTATTTATATTTAACAATTACTTTATTAAGACGTTAGTAATAAAAATGTATGAGTAAAAAAAATATTACACAAGTTACAAAAATTAAATATTTCAAAACTAAGAATGTTAAAATACTAATGCTAAAAAGTAAAACGTGTGTATACAAAATGATGTAACTTTTGGATTATACTTTTATTTCTGTATTACATTTGATTTAATTTGGAAAATAATATCGTAATTGCGATCTTATAATTACGAAAAAAAAAGAAACGAAAGAGATTTTTCATAATCAAGATTTTTAATTCTTGATCCGTTGAAATTTAGAGCTGAGGAGTTTTTATACGTACGAATTTTGCATTTCTGGCAACGCCGCTTCGATTCTTCCCTCTTTCAAGCACCCTTCCGCAGTTCTAGGGTGAATCATCCCCCTGTCCTCGAGCTCCGACGATAATGCGAGTCCCCGCGCACTTTGTACCGTCGAAGGAGGTCAGGTCTTTGTGTCGGATGATATAAATTTATGCGTAAGGAGAAGAGGGCCGGACCGTGAGATATAGCGGTAACGGAGGAAAATGTCATGGCAGAGAGATAAGCGATCGGATGGATTTAGAAGAACAAGTAGGGAAACATGCAAAATGCTGGAGTTTATGGCATGGAGATATATACATGTGGGAGTTTTATATTATTGCGACTATTTTTTTTTTCATTTTTTTTTAAGATACAAATTGTCTATGTCGCAAGTGGTGCAAATCACATTTTTTAAGTGCGGGATATTGATTGGGAGATACACATATAAGCAATCTGTACAGTATATAAGATTCATTTTAAACAAATTCTATAATATAATATTTCAATGTATACATGTCTAAAGATCTTATTTAAACTATGAGCTTTTTTGTTCGTACTAGAGGTCTTCCAATTTCCATTTGGATTATATACAATATGTATACATATATATATATACACACATACACATATATGTGTATATACTTGAATTTATTGCTACCCAAAATTTGTTGTTTATGCCTCACTCGAAGTACGGCTCATGCATACTCGAGGATGCAGGAAATAGGAGAATATTGGAGAATATAGATGTAGGAGCACTCATATGTGGATGTAAATTGGAAAATCGTTCGCGTGTATTTCCAAGTGTCGTAATTTAAAATAGCTGACGTAGACATCAAGGACTTTTAAAGACTCGTTTGTCTTGCATGGATTTGCGAATATTGATTTTGTATATACGACTTCCAAACAAGTTCAATTTAGTTCATTTCCGCTAATTTGTCGAAGAATGTATTTCTTTATACATTTTCTTATCGTTTTCTTCCGAGCAATTTCCCGCCATGAAACGCTAAATTTTGCTTCCGCGGCACTTTAACGAATATTTTAGGAACAGCAGAATTATTAACTCTGAGCGAATTTAATTCTTAATGCCATTAATTCGCCATAATGTCTCTAACGGCTTGCCGTTGTAATTCGCGAACAAGCTACGTAATCGTGGCCGAATTTTATAGGGCGGAAGGATACTTCGATATCTTTTCTCATTTAGCGTAAATGGCGGCTACGCGAATAATTACATTGTGAATTTTCATTCTGAAGAATTTCACTTTAAGCTCAGATTACTTTAAAGTTTTAAAAACCTGAATTTTTCTTCTTATAAAATTTCTTTATCACACAGTCTGAAATGACACGAATAATTTTTTTATTTTTTTTCATAACATTTTATATTTATAATAAGGTTATTAATTATGAGACACATCAACTTGCATAAAACAAGTGTTCCATTTTTTTTCCAGATTTTAAATAAAAAAAAAGCGCACAAGACAATTTTCTTTTTCTTTCTATTCATTTACGTTAGAATAAGATCTTTTTCGAATATATGAAGATGCATTAAAGTAAAAGATTAATTTGAGGCAGCCGGTTCCTGATCTTCCGGTCGTAGTCATTGTACCCGTATTATCGTGTTTTAAACGAAGTTTTAAATTTTACGGCTCAACTTTAAAGTCTCAAGTTTCACAGCGAGCCCATTATCTAACGTAATTTACAGTTCCAGAGTAAATCATCTCCATGATATGGCGCTACTTAGGACAGCGCCTCTTTGGAGAAAAAGCGATGAGTACAAAAGGAACGAGAATACGGAAAAGGAATGGAATTGTAAGTTCCACGAATGGATGTTATGTGTTATTAACGTCATCTATTATTCATTCGTTAATCGTTACTCCTATAACAGTTATATATTCATACATGTTACTAGTTTAGATCGTTAGAAAGTAGAAGAGTCTGCGTTGAATATACAATTACATAATTTAATAATATCGGATATAATAATTTTTTTTTTAGATTGGTACATTCAGTTCAATTAAAACTCATTTAGATACATCAAAGTAACGGACCAAGTTAATAATTATAATACGTTACGCAGACGAAATAGATCGTTACTACTGGGAAGAGTATTTTTAATCTAAGATTTCTAAAACTTTCAAAATAAAATCTATCATTAAGTGAATAATAAATTCTGCATCATTAATAAAGCACCGTTATTTTTTCTTTTCGTTTTATTTCAATGGATATAAATTAAGTGATCGAAAGAGAGGGATCTTGGAAAGAAAAGCAACATGGTCTCTTCGCGGGGATGAAATCCATACCACCCACATGCTATGACGTGTTCGACTTTTACCCTTTGCGCCTCTCGGTGTTTCCAGAGATAACACTCACACAGATGCGAAACATTCAGCACGAACCAACTCGCGCGCATGCGAGACGACGTAATATATATTTATGTACGCGTCATTTCACTATATGGAACGACGGTCCGAAATTGCCCCTTGCTTAATGGAACTACCCTTAACAAAATGGCGACCACTCGAGCGAAATTCGGATGTATGATATCTACACTAGATGCCGCAAATACCTTTAATACACAAAGATCATAATGATCTTTCGCGTACTCGCGTACTCTAAATATTTGTCACAGGAAAACTCAACATCTTCATCTAGAAGAACATCACAAAGCGGCTGTAAGCTCGATAAAATAAAAGATAAATAATAGATCTCATGTAATTGATTAAGAAGTAATTTTAGATAATTTGAACATGAATTTAATGTTTGTTGTGAATTTAAAGATAACTTATAAATTTTTGGTTTCATTCATTGTTTATATTTACGTATATTACGTACATAAATTGTAAAGTTATACTGGAAAGAGAGACGTTATTAGCGCTGTTTATGTCATTCTATTCCTTGTTTTACATCGAATAAACGATGAAAATAGAATGACAAATAACAATAATAGCGTCTCTCCGTGCGCATCCGATGTTAATAATAAATATAAAACTATTACACATCCTACAATTATAAACTCGACGCAATTTCGTCTTACTCATATTTTATAATTGAAAAAAAATATATCGTAAATTATTAATTGTGCTTGTTTTTATTGGAAACTTACGAAAATTTTAAAGAGTCGGCGAATTTTCGGAGAAGAACCGTTTCCAATAATTTTCAATTGTGCGGTGCCTCATCCGAGACGGACGGACGTGCGGCTGGACTCGGGACTGGCTGGCCGTTTCGTTATTATTCGTTTCGCTCGTTCTCCATTCGACTCGAGCACATCGCTTCGCCGACCATCACCCGTTGCTCGGCAACCTCTGACTCGCGACGTGTCGTTATATGATGGCGACGGGGGTGGATAACCGGTGCGGCTGTTCAGTCGGCTGTTCTCTCTCTCTCTCTTTTATTTTCTCTCTCCTTCCCTCCTCCTCTTTCTGTCTCTCTCTTTTTGCCTCCACTGTTCACCGAGGCTGTAGAGTGGCACTCGTTGACCAAACGGTCATTACGACAAATGTTAGTTATATCTTGACGACGCCATCAGATACTCCGCAAACTAGCATGAATCGGAGGGGGTATATATGGAGTGTACCACCATAACCACCCTTGAACGAATATATAGCGTTGTTGGCACCTATCCATGTAAGCTGTAGCTACAGGATTATGCTCGTATGCGTTTGACGTAACTTTTGGTTGAGAATACATATATAATCGATAACCAGACAATATAAGAAAAAGATAGATGCATACTGTATAATAAATAACAACTCATTGAAATAACTTGAATCGAAAGTGGCTCGCACAGATTAATCTTACAATAATTCATTTATATTAGGATATATTTGGATACTCTTCGAACGTTATTCAAATATGCTAATTTTTTTATTTACAAATTTGTTCGATAAAAAAGCGAACGATACAATTTTAGAAATCGGTGAGATAGCTCTTCTCATTATGATGATGAATTTTCCAATTGGGTTAATGACGCGAGAAATTTACCGTATGGCTTCATTCTAAGTGACCGTCTGGTTATTATCGCTCTATATATGTTTCTTAAAGTTTACGTAAGATGGAACGAAGATCATAGATTAAGATAGAACTTGTCAAGGATCATATATCTGAACCCATTAATTACTACGGCACTATCATAATCTCTCGCACGATCTTGCATTCCGAGATGATTAGTAAAGTCCCCGTAAATTTTGCAGAGAACACGTCGCGAATCTATTTACATCATCGCAATGGCACGAATGTGCATGTAAAAACGATAAAAAAATTAAGAATCAAGATTGAAAAAAGCAACCAAATTTAATGAAAAATATGAGAAAGAAAAAGTTTATTATTAAAATTATACAGGGCAACAGGACGTTGCGGAAAAAGAATTATCTTCCGCAACACACTTGTAGATTTATAATATTTTATTACCATTTTACTCGTAATAAATAATCGGTAGGTATTTACTGTAATGTAAGTAAAAGAATTACAATTAATAAGGCCACAGCCAGCGAGAAAACGTACAATTAATATCTCTCGTAGAAACGTACGCATAGTTAATTTCGTTTATGTTACGACTCGATATTGTTCCTAGCTACCTCGAGAAAGTTAGAACGGTGTACCGCAGACAACAACATCTGAGAAAATAATCCGAATTAATTCCATCGGAGCTACACATCTCGAGCCAACTTGTAGCGTTAATTCCAGGAGTCTCATGGAAAGAGAATGGATACAGCCATACGCAATAAATAAATCCAATAAAAGACACGCGAGGCAGAATGAAATAAAAGAAAACGCGAACCGGCCAAGCTAACCGGAGACAGAGAGGAGACACCGACAAACGAAGGCAGAGACAGAACTCGAAGCGCAGAATAGTGCGAGGGTGAAAAGAGAGACGTGGACGGGGAGGAACGTCACGGGAGCGAGATGCAACGATGGTGGAAGGGGATGGCGCGCGCTATCGCGAACCCCGCCGACGAACGCGGCAGGATGCCGAGGTCGACGGTATCGATTGGCGTCGGCGTTTCCTCGTCAGTATCTAGCGGCCTCTTTCTTTTCCTCTTTTAGCCGCGGGAGGGTTGGTTTTGCCCGTACTACCCCTCTTGTCCCTTCTCTCCATCTCACTTCGTCACTCGCTCTTCCACCCTTCCTCTTTAGCCACCCACCGCGGTAACAGGTGTTGGTCTGGCCCCGAACTCGTACAAAATCGATGGCGAGAGCCAGATCGGCGTCGGAAGGGGTTTCCCCGCCGATCCTCCACCCCCTCGGCCGTCATCCCTCTGCCGGCCTTCCCCCTTGGCAACCTTCGCCATCCCCTCGATTAAGGAAGAGGAGAGGGTGGCGCGTAAGAACAGGGGGAGCGAGAACGAGAGGAGCGGGAGAACGCGCCGCAGCCGACGAAGAGAAGCGACGAGAAGGGGGTTGGAAACGCGAGTTACGCAGTTGGGGAGGGAGAGGGAGAGGGAGAGAAAGCTGCACACAAGCGCGGCGGCGAGGACGCAGGCGCCCGGGACGCGGGGCGACACTCGTCGGCGACGCTGCATTGGCAGTTGCACCCCAGCCACACCCGGTACGAGCCATGTAGTCGGGCTACCCTCCACCGCGATACACGGCGGACAATTGTTGCTTCTGCGCCTACAGGTGGTACATCTTCGTCTTCGATCTTCGCGGAGCTCGTCGGTACTCGCGTCCGCCGTCGCCGGGTGCCCGGGGATACCGTCGTCGTCCTCATTATCGTCATCTTCGTCGTCGTTTTCACCGTTGTCCTCATCTTCGTCGTCGTCGTCGTCGTCGTCGTCGTTGTCGCCTTCGTTCTCATCGTTTCTGTTCCACGTCACCACCACCGCCGCCGCCGCCGCCGCCGCCGCCGCCGTCGTCGTCGTCGTCGTCGTCGTCATCGTCGTCGTCGTCGTCGTCGTCGTCGTCGTTGTCATTGTCGTCGTGACCATCGAGGTGCTCGTTGTCGTGGTTACGCCTCGTGTATATCCGTCCGCTGTGCGAGACTACCGGTAGTCCGCGTATCCGCCGAACGAACTATCATAGACACGTTACGTCGGTGCCTGTCGGGACAAGGGATCCTGGACAAGGCTTTCGATCCAAGGAAACGTCGAAAAGGAGAGAATCATCGGTGACGCAAGCGGTGTCCGCAGTGAAACCAGGGGGAAGTACCGTAGCTTCGGGCGCGCTCGTCAGCCAACTCGCTTTCGACTGCGACTGTGTGTACACTGTACCGTGTATAGGTAGCGGGAGCGCGAGAACGAGGGTTGCAAGGGGGTGCGCGCGGGATTTCCGGGGTCGCGGAGAGGACTAGAGGGAGCTATCGACCACACACGTAAGGCGGCGGCGGTAGCGCTCGCACACACCGGCGCACACGGATACACAACATCGCGGACCTGTTGTCCAACTTGTTGCTCGTCCCTGCGAAGGCACACCCGCCCATCTCCGGAGTCGAAGGAGAGGTTGTTTTCGAAAAAGGAACTAGTGCCAGTTACGAAGAATCCAACAATCGCATATTGGAACTTGGAACGCCGCGCTCCAACGATCGAGCTCCGACTACTCCCAGAAACGCGGACGAAGAAGGTGAGGATGGAAATACGGTCAGAGTGAGAAACTCCGAAACTCCGAAGCTCCGAAGAGAGAACGTTCCGACACGAAGAATTCGAAATTGGGTTTCAAGCGAGAAAGGAAAGAGGAAATGTCGTAAAGACGATTGATACTATATATTCCCAGATTGCATTGCGATAAGAATTTCTACCGCCCAAATATATAATTTTGAACGAGCTTAATACAGTGTACTACGTTTGATCGGGATATATATTAGATTGTGAACAAATTTCGATTCATCTTACGAGACTTCCGCTCTTTATGAATTAATAAGAGAACATTGAAGAAGACCAGAAAGCTCCACTCTCATCTTCAGAGAGTACAATCCGTACTTTCCTACAATCTGAAGGAAACTTTAATGACGCGCGCTGGCTAATTCAGAGGACCAACTCCTTATAGAAATTCAACTATTCGTATCAAAGCTCACAAAGTTGTTTACAAAGTTGTAAACATCAGAGCGTCGGTTCGAGCTTCGTCGGGTAGCATTCGCATTTGACGAAAACGAACGGAGCGGTTGCCAATAAAGTAGCGGACAATCACATCTCTCGATTTCGATAATCAAACGAGATTTTCCCTCATCCTGAAGAAAACTCGCGTACATTGTTCACAGTCAATTTGCAGAGAAGACAGAGTTCCAGATTGTGTTGCGATGAGGATATTATTATCGGGACGTCCCGGGGCAACGACGTCATCGGGAATCGGCGTGACGAGATACCATCTGGAACAGCCGGGCGAATGAAGAGTTCGCGAGTGAATCTCGCGGAACCAGAGCGACGGAAGCCCCGACGTGGATTCGCGCATTCCCGGCGACGCATGTATTGCCGGAGGCAGTGCAGGATAACGAACCTACGGCGGTGAAGCGGAGGAAGAGAAAAAGGGAGAGAACGGAAGAGAGAAGAGGAGGGAAGAGAGTTTAGCTAGATGGGTAAAACGCGCACGTAGACGTATGCGTGCGTTTTGCGAAACGACGAGATACTAGGCGGGCATGAGACCGACGCCGTAAAGCATGTAAATCTTCCACCCGTGAATATACAACGAAAGCAATACTACAAACAAGGTAATCTCGAGGAACAAAGCAAAGGCAAGCCGCACACGCTTTCCGCCACCCTCCCATAATCTCGCACTTAATCACCGCCCTCTGATCGCGCTTTGGAATCATCAAAGAACTGATACCGCGTATTATTCTCCCGCTCGGACTCGATCGCCACGATCGAGAGCTCCTCCCGCAGCTCCTCGCTTCACTTAAGAGATATTTTAATATGAATGTATACACGCGCATATAGACACCACGATCGTACGCGCTCACTCTCATCCCTGTATATAGTTATACAAAAAAAAAATATATATATATATATACATTTATACGCAGAGTCCTATTGAATAATCGTGCAACGACGTCTAGAATTAAATCAAGCGATATCGCCAAGATAGCCATCTCGAGCTGAGCGTTTCATCTTTCCTAAGAAGAGAATCGTTTTCGCTCATCTTTGCTACTGAAAGGAATTTTGAATAGAAGGAACTTTAATTGGGACAGTCTGCCGTTGATTAGATCGATACGAAACGACCATGTCGTGTCTCAGGATATCTTAGAGAAAGTGTAAAGAGTGGGATGAACAGCTGAAGCTTCGATTGAGAGATCGTGCCTGGTAAAATCTCCGCGTTAATGAATTAAGAAAGATAAACTTGACATTTTCGTGAAAACGGGAACGAGCGGCAGAACGGTTAATGGTATATCGAACGATATATATATATATATATATATATCGTAGTGTATCGTTTGCCGCGATTTTTGCAAAGGAGATTGTGCGATACAGGCGATCAATATACGCGGTACTTCTTGATCGTGCCGCGGGTACGCACTCGCAATAAAGTACGCCGTCACACCGAAGGATCGAGGAAGGCTCAAGAGGGTTGTTTACCCTAACACGGTTGTTTGGTGATCTTAGAGCGATATTTCGATATTAATCCTGGTGGGAAGAGAGCAACGATCAGCCAAGATGCCGCGGTGCTATATGGTAAAGAAGGCCTTGTGCAACAAGTACATAACCAGCGTTGCCAGAGGATTCGAGAGCTGGGGCCGCGGAAGGAGCACGCCATCGCCAACCACCATACCCATCTCGCCCGTACAGAAGTGCATTGCACCCCCTGTTGCACAAGGTATGCCAACTTTGCATATTTTACCGGAAATCTGTGATCGTTATAATCATTACTCTTACAAGTTAATCGGGTGGTCGATCTATCCACACACACACACACACACACACACGCAGCGCCAAAGTAACTTTCCCCCTTCGGTGTCTCTACATCGTTTTTACGTACTTACACCACACTAGATATTGTGAAGAACGAACGTATCGTAATAAATTTTTTTTTTTATTTTATCGAAACGCCAGATATTAAGGAGTAGAATCGAGCAACAAGCAAATGAATTGTTATAAATAAAAAAGTTACAGCAAAATAACCAGGATATGTCACCCTTAGAATGACATCGAGGGTTAAACTTACAATTGATACAATCAAAATGAGCTCAATATTACATTATGATAAACAATATAAGGAAATATAATACGTATATGTATATACAAGCTATATAAAATCGTATATAAAATAGACAACAAAATATGTGATATCTTTTCAAGTTATTAAAACGTAATAGCTACTTTTTTTATTCTTTCGTAATTGCGTCAGCGCTTTAGCGTCACTTTAGCGATATTCACTTCGGCGCAAGTCCGATACGCGTTTATATCAAATTATCAAATGATAATAGCACACGCTGCTGCGCACCGCGTAATTCCCAATAATACGTTACCTGGTCGCAACAAAACGACCTTAATTGTCGGAATTCTCCGTGGCGTTGCTACTTGTACGACGTATCCGCTTCTCGTGTGAACGGCGAAAACGGTATGCGAAACTTGTCGAGATAGTAAATGCAGTTACAAAGGCGGTGCAGTGGCATTCGGAATTATCGTAATGACGATGCACGTTTATAGTATTTCGTCAGCACGAAGAAGCGAGAGTTTCAAACGTTCGCGCAATGAACGTTTATAATAATTGACCGAAATCATTTTGCGTCTAAAAAATAACAAGTTCTTTATCACAATTTATTGGACATTTATTTGATGATATAGTAATTATTAAAATTAATCAAAATAGTTGTCTTTGGTATTATTAAAAATAATATATGAATATATTTTTGGAATAAGATATCCAAATTGAATATTCTCAAATCAATTTTTGGAATGCATAATTATGAAGTTAATAATTATATAATTAAAAATTCAATAATAATCAGAAGGAAAATGGGCAAATGAGAGTCAATTAGTGAAACACAAAATTAAGTCTAATTGTACTTAAAAATACACAAAATTTCAAACATTTTGGCTCATTTTTCGAATCATTTTCAACGACAATGTCGTATTCTGCAATATTATATATTTTATTGTCCCATTGTTTCCCATTTGAAATTTTATGTATTTTTAATGGACTTAATTTGACGTCTCATTAACTGCACTTTTATTTGTTCATTTTTCTTTTAATTTTTTAATATCATTTGATTTTTTAATATTAATGAGTCCTTACACATTAATATACTATTTAAAAAATATTATTTTCTCTTTTCTTTATTTCTATTTGTTTTTAATTATTTGTAGAAAGAAAAATGACAAACGTGCAAAGACTTAATTTAATAATTTTCTATTTTATATATAATATACAAAATGTAAACGCTGTATAAAATTTTTAATAATTTATATCTTAATAAATATCTCATATATGAACGTAATAAAAACGTATTTTCGCAGTTGTGCAACTTGCAATAAAAATTTTACATATATCTTTGAAGTTGATATAACTTTTTTATACTATACAAATGCAAATAACACAGTACGAAAAGCAGGACATTTACATTCGCATAATATTCATACCTGTCGATCTTTTCGCGAACAGCAAAACTCTCTTCGTGATCACAGTTCAAACAAAAATTCATTCTGCTCACGAAACATATAAAAACAACAATGTAGAAATATTAAAGTAAATCCGTCTAGTGACGTAAGAGAAATCGGTCGTTTTTAAACGAAACGTGCATATTTACAACCGAGTTATCGTGAAATTTTATATTCGCTTAACCCAGGAAACCTTCTTGATTCTTTACTTCCCTCCCTTTTGACCTCGTTCCTAACATATTTGCCGTCATAATCCCACTATTCCTATCTTCGCAATCCGTACTGTGCAATCCACGTCTTTCTCCCACCCTCCTATCATTCATTTATCGCTACACTTTTTTCTTACCATCATCAGTTCGATACTTTTTGCTATCACGCCGGAAACGAGAAACGAACACTATTTTTTGGTATGCTATTTAAAAACCTATACGACGCCATTAAATTTCGATAAAAAAATATTAAATGTAAGCAAAGAAATAAGTTTATACGTTGCTTTTGTAACATATAAGGCAGTAAAGATATTTTGCAATAATCTGAATTATATGTAGCAAATTTAAATATACAATTTATATATACATTTTTTTCCATTCTGTCATGAGGCGCGATCTGATTCGATTTATTAGTTGTACACGAATAAAGCTTAATATTTATAATCTTAGAATGTTCCAACACGCATTCAAAAGACACAACGGCCGCTATGATTTCCGCCATGGCTGATGCAGACCCCTCGAAGGAACAACCGAGCAATGCAGACACAACTGTCGCAACAGCGGTACCATCATCCGTCATCATGATGAATCCCGCGATGGACCACTCGATGACGATGCGAATGGAAACCGTCGTGATCGCGTGCACGACAACGGCGTCTCTAACGACTCTATCACCAACAGAAACAATCGTCTCAACCGTCAAGGAAACTACAACGACGACGGTGACGTCTTTACCTCCGTCGAGCGTGCGAACGACTCCCGAGAGACGCGACGAGACTACGACGTCTATCGCGACGCTACACCATTCACCATCCACCGAAAAACCATCTCCGCCGTCCAGCACGTCAACGTCCTATCATCTACAAGATACTCCGGAGCATTCGAGAACACACGATAGGATACAATCGGTTATCACATCCTGTGACATGTCCATGTCCGGTCAAGTGTCATCCATGTTTAAAGATCGCTCCGCGGCGGAAACGGAGGCGGCGCACGATCTTCTAGAACTCTCCCGATCTCTACCTCCCTTGCCACCACCGAGTGTGGCGATCGGTCCTCAAAGCGTGATCGAGGCGCCGGCGAGCGACGTCCAAGAGATGACGGTCTACCAATCGGCTGAGCAACCAATCTATCAGGTGAACACGATCGAGCTGACCAGCTCAAACATCTACAGCCATCATCAGCAACAGTCACAGCCCACAACTACCGGTATCATTTATGAGTCCGCCATCGTGCCACCCTCGGGCAGTGTTTTCATACCTTTGGCACCAGTACAAGAGATCCTGCTGACATATAGTACATCCACCATACCGTGCACACCAATTATCGCTCAACAGCCGCAGCTTCAGCTGCCGCAACAGCCGCAGCAGCAGGCGGCGCAGCCAGCAGCAGCACAACAAAAGCAACAGGAACAGCAGCAGGAACAGCAGCAACAGTCATTGCTACAGCAGCAACAGATTGAAACGACGCCGCCATTAACGCCGCCAACCTCCGAATGCAGCAGCGACATTGAGAATAGTAATCCAAACTCACAACCGACGCAGAAGGACAAGGAGGTGCAGACTAATACGGAGCCCAATGAGATAAAACCAGCGACTTACACATATGACACGTTGCTTGTTTCGGACGGCAGATCGAAGCATAAGAAAGCATCCGCCGCACAGAAGAGTCAGGACGCCGAACCGATCGAAGCTCCCGAGACCTCGAAAACCGGTCGTTACGTGTGTTGTGAATGCGGTAAGTAGCGTTAATTCACTTAACTCTAATATTACACCTTATCTCAATAAATTTATAGATTAATAAATTTATTAAAAATTTGAATTGATAGATATATCATCTCGATGATAAACGCTTTTGCGATATTACACGAGTCACTAGCCTCGATCCTCCGTTAATTCGCGCATTTTCCTTTCCTTTCCAGGCAAACAGTATGCGACCTCGTCGAATCTGTCCCGGCACAAGCAGACGCATCGCAGCATCGACTCTCATTCGGCCAAAAAGTGCATCCATTGTGGCAAGGCGTACGTCAGCATGCCCGCTCTGGCGATGCACGTGCTCACGCATAAGCTGACGCATAGTTGCGGCGTCTGCGGCAAGATGTTCTCGCGACCTTGGCTACTGCAGGGTCACTTGCGCAGCCATACTGGCGAGAAACCGTACGGATGCGCTCACTGCGGCAAGGCGTTCGCCGATCGCTCGAATCTAAGGGCGCACATGCAGACGCACTCGGCGGATAAGAATTACGAATGCTCCAAGTGCCACAAGTCGTTTGCCCTTAAGTCGTACTTGAACAAACACCTGGAGTCGGCGTGCCAGCGCGAGAGCGACGATCCCGACACGCCGCCATAAGTAGCCAGGACCAGGATGCCGATGTATAGTGGCGCCGCGATTAACGGCAATGATCAAGTAGGTACGATCTGCGATTCGAGTTCCCCTTTCTTTTCGAATATTGACGAAGAACGATTTCTATTTATCGTTTTCACTTACATCGGACATGATCGCTTCGCTTTATCACACAATCTGCGACACGGTCTGATATTGTACAATAGCGCGAGGGTGT